TTTTTTTTTTTTTTTTTTGCTTACAGTTGCTAAATAGTTGGTTAAGTTAAAGTAATCATTTATGATGTTACGCTATGTGTAGCTCAATCTAATTAACTACGACTGATTTTTGCTTGTCAGAGTAAGATGTTTTCTATTTGAGGACATTCTAATTTTTTTATGCTCTATCTTTATTTGTAAACGTTTTCTCTTAGAGGCCGCTTTTTTTGCAGAAAATTTTTTAGAGATCTTACTAATTTCTTTACGGTCTGTAGCAGCTCTGTTTTTTTAATTCTAATGACGTTAAGATTCAGTAGTGAAAAAAACCAAGTAGAAATTTTATGCAGAGAAAAAAAAAAAAAAAAAGAAATAATGTTTTCCACTGTTTTGCCATTTGTTGCTCTTTTCTAAAAGGTAACTCTTTTGTACTGAAAAAGGTTTAAAAAATAACAAGTTATTAAATGATTGATAAATCTCTTTAATATTGATCAATGTGTTGCTTTTTTTTCTGACTTGTTACTTTTTACTTTGTCTTTTATAACAACGACTAAACAACAGGTTTACTTAAGTCAAAATTGCTATATGAGTTCAATGTCACAAAAATCTGTTGCAAATTTTTGCAAAAATAAATGAGAAAAATAAAATTCTTTCAAATAATGTTGCAATAAATATGAATTCTTTTTCTTACATTTTAACATGAATTAGCTAATTAATTGTTCTAAGTAAACTTTTTTAATTTTTCAGATTTTTTTTTGCGTGCTTTCTGTAAAATGTCATCTGTAAATCTTAATGCTGTTTAAAATTTCAAGATGCTTTTTTCCTTAAAGCTTCGGGAGTGATGGAAATTTTGTTTGTTTGGAAAGAAAAATAATAAAAATCAGCGTGCATATAAACCAATTTTGTTCCTGTGAAATATTTTTATTTCGAGACCTTTAATGTCGACTGTCATTAGAAGAAGCAACTGGTAAGTTATATATTCCAACTGGTAAGTTATATATTCAAACTGAGGAAAAAGAGGAAGCTGCTAAACCGTATGCGCCAAAAAAAACATATGCAATTTTTATTGCTAAAACAATTTAATAATTCTAAATTTGATAATAAAAAAAAAAAAAGTTATAAAGACGTTTAAGTTTTTTTTAATCAAAAAAAGTAATTTTTTTTGTAGAAATTTTCAAAAGTATAATAATGGAAACTGTCACTTGCAATATCAATTACAAAACTTTTAATTAGAGCTTGTTTAGTTTTGAAATTTTTCTAACAACTACAAAAAACGGTATTAGTTCGAATTCTTTTCTATTTTTTTTTTTTTGAAGATAAGCAAGATTAGCTTAAAAAACTTTTCAATGTAAAAGGTACAAATTTCTTAAGAAATTAACAAATACGTTTCCACTTGCACATTTACTATTAGTCATTTTTTTTATTTTTTATTCGTTTTCTTGTTTTTTTTTTCTTCTCAGTGCTAAGAAACAACTGAATTTGTCTCGCATTTGATTCTTCCTTTGATCAGCTTTCTGTTTCACTGCAATGTTCTATTTTGCTTCTTTCTTATTTAGTGACAAAAAAAGCAGAGCTAAACAGAAGTTCTGTTACTGTTCTAATTTAAACGCCGACTGTAAATTAGTTTTAATAAAAAATTTTTTTTAAAAAGTGTACCTTACGATAAAACATTACCATTTTTCAAGCACTTTTTGTTATTTGTTTTCAAATCTAATTTGGTACAGTTAAAACGGTCACGGAATGTTGATGGAATCTTTCACAGTGTCGAAAATGCAATAAATTGGAAAGCAAAAACAAAAAACTGAACTTATAATAACAAACTGAATGAGTTGATGTAGAATAAAATTTGCTGACAGTATTACGCACTGTGAGAAACAGTTACTCCACCTCTATAGAGGTTATTTATATTTTAAGCTTTTCACCGTTTATAAGCTGTATGTTTTATTAGTACTCGTATAATATTTCATCTGTTGACTGTCTGTTTTTCACTGTTAACATCTATCGTGAAAAAGTATATCAAATAAAATTTTTTTGGTTTAATAATTTTGTAATAGTTCTTTTGCGAATCAGATATACCTTTAAATTTTGGTTTTTCTTCG